GTAGCTACAGTAAAGATAAAGCCACTATTTATGTATCTATGCTTGTATGCACTCTGCATGTGTGAACATGACAGGAAGACTGTGACAGTCAGATGATATTTGTTTCCATGGCAACAGCAAGCACCATACCACCCACACAAGCTAGACAGCGATCCCAGAACGGGGTTTCCTCTCACACATTGCCTTTGCAGAGCCGAGCTGATCCTGCCTGTGACAGCAGCCGCCTGTGCGTCACGGCAAGTGTTCTCCTGGCATTTCACAACCGCCCACAGCTCCACGCTCTTTGCCTCCCCTTCTCATCTCACGGCTAAGAGAGACTTCTCCACACCTTAAAGAGTCACTTCCGGCGATCATCAAGGCAGAACGCTAACAGCCTTGGGCACATTAATGTACTGTTTATAGGGTGTGATCTCAGAAATGACTTTGTAATTTGTGAGACTGAAATTGTTTAATAGGAATATTTCACCCACAAATGAAAATTCTAGAAACTCATTAATCACTTACCATGATGTCATTCCCAACCTATAAGACTTTCATTCATCCTCGAAACACAAAGATATTTTGTGTTTTGAGCACACTTGAGCTTCAGCAAGAACCAATGAGGTTCATTCGCGTGTTAGGCAGCAAGATTCAGCTTCTGCAAGAATCAATGTGGTTCATTCCTGTGTTACGCAGCACATTTGAGCTTCCGCAAGAACCAATGAGGTTCATTCGCGTGTTTCACGCAGCACATTTGAGCTTCAGCAAGAACCAATGAGGTTCATTCTCGTGTTACGCAGCAGGTTTGAGATTCTACAAGAACCAATGAGGTTCATTCTCGTGTTACGCAGCAGGTTTGAGATTCTACAAGAACCAATGAGGTTCATTCTCGTGTTACGCATCAAGTTTGAGCTTCCTCAAGAACCAATGAGGTTCATTCGCGTGTTTCACGCAGCACATTTGAGCTTCCGCAAGAACCAATGAGGTTCATTGGCGTGTTTCACGCAGCACATTTGAGCTTCCGCAAGAACCAATGAGGTTCATTCTCGTGTTACGCAGCAGGTTTGAGATTCTACAAGAACCAATGAGGTTCATTCTTGTGTTACGCATCAAGTTTGAGCTTCCTCAAGAACCAATGAGGTTCATTCTCGTGTTACGCATCAAGTTTGAGCTTCCTCAAGAATCAATGAGTTTCATTACAAATCATGTCCGAGCTTTAGCAAAAGCCATTGAGGTTTATTCTCAGCAGGTTCAGAGCTTCTGTTTATGCTTGCTGATCAATTTTCATATGTGAATTACATTATAAATTAAATCTGTTCATCATAAAGCATTTGAGTCCTATCAGAAAATCTTGGACTAAACCACTCTATTCATATGGATTAGTTTTGCAATGTCTTTATTAACTTTTGAAAGTGACAAAGTAGTTGCATAGCTGTCAACAGAAGGACAGAAAGCTCTCATATTTCATCAAAAAGATATTCATTTGAGTTCCGCAAATGAACAAAAGTTTTACGGGTTTGATATGACATGAGGGTGAGAAATTGATGACAAAATTTTTTGGGTTAACTAAGCCTTTAAGTATGTAAAAAGCACTCAAATTCACATTCGTATCATTGTCTATTGATATTTCAATGAACGCATTTGTCTACTGGACTGACCACTGTTCATTGTATTCTTTGAGTCTGATACCACTGATGAATGAATTAGAAATTACATTTCCTTATGCTGTGTGCTGCTTCTCAGATCAAATTTACCGTCTTATATTACCTCCAGTGAAAGTTCACTCTAAGCTTCCCTAGACCGCAGTTAGTATTAGGGATTTATGGAGCTCAGAGAAGTACTTCTCAATTGAGTCGTTGTGCTGTACAGCTTTAAATAATCAAGTTTAACCCCCTTCTGTATTGAACTTTGTTTTGGGCATAAATCAGTTTATGTAATGTATAAGTTTAGAAGTAGGTCTGGGATGAGGAAATCTGGGATAAGATTTTTAGGTATGATTTGGATCTTTTGATTAAAGGGGTCATATAATGCCATTTTTGTAGAAGTTAATATGAATCTTTAGGCTCTAAATTGAAACTTAGAAATATACTTTTATTATAAATTTTCATTAGTATTGTAAGTAAACACTCATTATACCTGTCAAAAACAGCTCTGTTTTCAGCATGCCATTTCAGTGTATATGCCTTTAAATGATAATGAGCTTCACTCACTCCCTCTGTTCTGTGGGGCATTTTGACACAACATGTGGAGTGTTGCCTTGACAACAGTTGAGGGTATATTTTGGAGAAAGAATGGCAGCGGGAGTCTCTAAGGACACATCTGAGTCAGACCCTGAACAAGAAGACGGCCACAAAGAAGTTTTACAATTAAGGCTCAAACAGGACATTTCTGAATGGTTGGTTAACGTAATGTCACTTTGATCCATCTTTTTATGAATTAGCAGGGTAGAGTAGTGAGATACAAACACTATGTGTTTACTGATGTATAGTGTAGGTTAGTTCTTAACAGATTGATGTTACAGTTATGGTCATGAACAACTTTTTTTTCGTGATTTGCAAGATTTTGCACTCACTTCTTCTGGAGGTGCAGCAGGAACACGAATAGTTGGTACCAATTCTTTTTTCAGGAGCAACTTCTTAGCAAAACCAGTTTTATACTGACCCTCGTTTATAAAGCAGTCTGCTGAGAAATTAATCGAGCAAACATGAAAGCATTGATGTTGCTGGTGGGGAATATTCCCTTCGAAAACAGAACTCAGCCACTGTGTCTTCGTTGGATTTAGGAACATCAATGACATTGAGTGAATGACATTGAATGTTCGTTATTACACCCAAGAACAAAACACCACAATCGCTTAGACGCCATTCTGCGCCAGTGTATCAACAATGACGAACTATGATGACAGCTCGCTCTGGGCGGGTTTGTGTTGAAACACTTCTGTCAATCAACAATCGTAGGAGGGGCGTCCAATTTAGTGACGTCACAAAAACGAACGGCTCAGTTTGAGGTAGGGGAAAACATTTAAGGAGATTAAAACAAAAACACCGGATGGATTTTTATCATTATAGGATGGTTGTGTACAGGCACTGCCAACACACATTTCAGTACAATCAACGTGAAAAATTGCATGCATCATTATATGACCCCTTTAATGCATTGGCCAGATATCAATGTTCACTTTTCATCTCATAATTTGCCTGAACTTTTTTTGTGTTTATATTCTGACTGTCTAGTATATTTACATATTATGTGCGCAAGTCTATTTGTCTGTCTGCCTGCTCCATCCATCCACTATATAACAAACAAGTGCACTAACAAAGAGAATGGCATTCTTCGCTTTCAGCCTAATGAAATAAAGAGACATCCTTCCCCCTGCACCTCCAGGAGGTCAGTGACAGATGGGGGCAGCTCTGAACTGGCTTCACAAACAGCTGCCAGGGTTTGGGGGTGAAATGTTAAAGGTCATCTCTTTTAGACTGCAGATCCCTACATTGCACACACTCGTGGCGTGACAGACAAACTTGCTACAGACCCACTGTCAAAGTAGATTAAATCTGTCCCAAAGAGAGTTTGAGTTTGCTCTTGATCTGACGTGGGGGGTGTCGCTTCAGCTGCTGTCATCATAAATCATGTTGCATGTGGGATTCAGGTACCAGTATGAACGGGGTGCATATGTGGAGTGTGTTTGTTTGTGGTTGGTGAAGGGGATGTTATGCTGGCTGACTGGCCTTTGCCAAAAGATCCTCTAACGTGTTTTTCTGCAGTGTTATATTGTGTCTGTACAATCTGAGCACAGTCTGTCACTGTTGCTCCGCTAGTAAAGGATATCCTTCCTGTGGATGTGAGGGGGTGTTTCAAGAGTGCATATACACAAAGTATTTTTAAATATGAGTAAAAAGTGACAACAGTTAGAGAATCTGACATGGCCACGGACACATGCATTTATCAATATAATGTTTACACCTTCTTCACAGCATGCATGAACTTGTAAAGGAACTTCCAATGGCACTTCCAATTAATCAAGGGCTAAAGACACTAATTTTGCTTCTTTACAAGTCAGACAATGCTAACGGTTGAAAAGAACATAAGTACTCAACTAATATCATTAGAAACCAAACTTATAAAATAGCACAGGTCAAACCACAACTTCCTCCCCCTAAAACTCAATTCTCTGGTCTGCAGACATAATGATTCTAAAGTAGGCTCTGGCCGTTAGTTTTAGGTGTGGGAGGGATAGATGAAAAAAATGCACTGCAGGGATTGACAAGAGGTATCTGGTTTAAGAATGCTCCACACCATTTGAACAACATTAATTTTCTAAAATGCATGCAAAACAAGCAATAAAGCAATAAAGACAAATAAATCATATATTTTATATATAGAGCAATATTATAGTAGATTTTTAACAAGAAGACATTTGAAACGCATGCGTAGAAAGAGAGGTTTTGTAATGTGTGTGTGTGTCTGTTTGTGTGTGTGAATGAACAATTTGACATTTTCTGCGATGGTTATTTCTTTTTCTGATTTGTATTTGTTTGTTTTTGGAGCATACAAATGCCATTATATTATATAACATTATACCATTTAATTGGCAATCTACTCAATATTTAATTTAAATATTGGTTGCATGTTGAGCAATGGATAAATAAGCTTTGATTTGACCTTTTGTCAATTTAATTTCAATTGTGTTGGATGTTATTCTACCTTATTATAGCTTTTTTCATTTGGATATTTAAGCCATTGTTTGAGATTTATATATATATATATATATGAAGAGTTCAGATACAAAAGCCTCTAAATGCCATTTGAAATTTTCTTCTTTAATGATGATTTTTATCAAACTTGTATTTTTAAGTTCAGTAATTTCACTTAAATGGCAATGATAATTACCTATTAATTGTTATTTAAGTGAAATTACTGAACTTAAATATACAAGTTTGATAAAAATCATCATTAAAGAAGAAAATTTCAAATGGCATTTAGAGGCTTTTGCATCTGAACTCTTCATATATATATATATATATACATTTTTTTTTAATTATATCCAGGAGAGATCCTCACTCGACATTACGAGAAAAGTTTAAGGTGCATATTACATGTTCTCTCTCATAATGCCATGTCAAGCCCTTAGGAAAACAGTAACATACTTCAATGCTGCGCTGGCTTGTTAAATGTGTAAAACCAGTTTCAAATCCTAATGAAAGGGCAAAGGAGGTTTTACTCGTCAGGTGTTCACTGCAGTTGTGCTTTTAGAAATGTGCTGAGCCCTCTGCCTTTATATTATACTTGCATGAACACATAAGGACAGAAAGACACCATGAAATAGCGTTCCTTTAAGGAGTAACCAAGGTAATGCAGTGACAGGTGTACAGACACACACACACACACACTCCATTTCATTAAGTGAAAAGCTAAAAAGACTGTTTGGGGCCTCCGGTCTGTGTTATACGCCCAAAGTGACAGACGTGCAGACTCCTCTATTGTGTGCTCAGCGCCGTTGGGCCTCTTTCACTCTACCGTCGTAGGCTGTGTCGGGAGGGGCTGCTACAAGGGTCGTGTGCCCCATTTTCACAGCAGCAGATGGGGGATGAATCCCTCTTGCTGCTCTGAACCTCAGGACAGAGTGTGTCTACCCCACCTGTCAAGACCACACAAAAGCCAGACCGTCACGTCACAAAGGCCAAGATGAGTCTGCAGACTGCTGGACCCAAGGCCGCTTTTCATACAGCGCAAAGCGTATAAACACGGAACATACTGATATTTAAAACGGGTCTTGTTGGAGGTCACATGAATACTAAATACACACATCTGCCATTGATTCTTCTTGGCCGCCTTCTATCCTTTCAAAAGTTCACTTGGTTGCTAAATATAATGGTAATTATAAAAAAAAGTTAAAGATTTGGGTTCCAATACTGATTTGTCTCAATTCAGGGTAACAATACTTTTGAATTTGAAGAAGAAATGTTTGGAATGCAGAAATATAATACCAAATGCTGGGATCATTTTAATACACTAATACGTCATAATACATTTAAAACAACAACAACGAACAAAATATTTTCAGAAAATACCACTAAAAAACTCATATTGTGTGTTGTCATATGAACAATTAGCCAGTTGTTATATGAGTCTTTCTTTCAGGATTCAGACTGGAATCGACCTGAATGTTTTTGATTACCTACAAAGAAGCGGCTCAATTGTCATTTGCTCGAGAATCAGACATCTCTAGTGCGCTATATGTTTTATATTCACTGAAAAGAACCTGCTCAGACAAGTAATTTGCTTGAGAATTCAACTTCTCTGGTCGCGCTGTTTGATTTTGATTCACTAAAAAGTAGGCTACTGTTTGACATTTGCTCACTGATCTCATTCTGTGTTTTGCACTGGAAATAACACCTTCAGAATAGTAGAGCGTTTGTTGAGAGATGAGAATGTTAGCTAAAATTCTGAGAATGTACCCTGTTAGCTGGGTCATGCTAAAAATGTCCAACCCTGTTTTCTGTCTGAAGTGGCCTATCAGTAAGGTAATATTTTGACAGTTTGAAAGAAAAAGAAACTTAGCTTAGCTAGCTTAGGCTAGCCTGGAAATCCATTCAGCTTGCATTTGTACTCATAAGCTGCTGCTAAAAGGCTGTGTGACTTGAATCTTCAGATTTCAAAACCTTCCGTGATGTGTTTACTAAAACTAAAACTCATTTCGCCTAGCCAACTGTGTTTATTGATTTTGTTGGCCATTTCAGATCATATATTTCACTAGGCCTACGGCAAGCAGGCTTTATTGTGTTTCAGTTAACATTGAAAACTACTCAATAATCAGAACTAGCTCTGTATTGTAATACAAGAGATTCTACAACACAAACTTACAGTTACTTTTACGTTGGCTGTTCCTATAAATTGCTATTTTTCGTAAGGGGGCATTGTGACAATGTGTCAAATAATATAATTATATATAATTTAATAATTCTTGTGCAAATATGAATTTGAGCGCACATCTACAATGAGATGACATCATTCTGCTGTGTCACAGCACTGTTTGAGTGTGTTTGCCCCTCTCCATCTGTGAGTGGGCTGCAGCATATTCATGGAGCATCAGACCGTCTCTGCCAGTCAGAGTCTGAGCCCTGCAATTATACTGTACTTTATGTTCTCTCTCTCTCTCTCTCTCTCTCTCTCTCTCTCTCTCTCTCTAATTTTCTGTGCGCACATCTCTCCTCTTCTTGTGAAGCATGAAGCAATGCTAATTACTTTGATGAGGGTGCTTCATGTTGATTTATGTGATTGATTTCTGCACCTGCTCCTGGATGATGTTTGAGGGGTTATTTTAGCACAGTTTCCTAATTTGGCAAGTGAGGAGAGGAATCCAAACAGGACCTGCAACAATCACACTGTGTCCTAAATGCATATTTGATGTCAAAGGCATAGTTCCTCTACAAAGGAAAATTCAATCATTTACTCACTCTTTGCCTTTCCCAACTTGTGTGACATTCTTTCTTACAGTGGAAACAGAGGGAGAATTTTGGAAGCATATTAAAAAACACCATACCCCCCCCCCCCCACCACCACCACTTCACTTCAAGTGAATAGGGTAAAAATATCTATTTAAATAATAGATATCACCATGAAACTTCCTCAGTTAATTGCTTACACAAGTATTTAAAACAATGTATACGTTTTTGAAATTTGTGTTCATTATCCAAATTAGGCATTATGTCATTATATTTATGCACATATTTGCATATATTTTCAGTAGATAGATCTGAACATATGATAAAACCACAAGATGAAACATACACACAAGATGAAAAAACATATGTACACACAAGATGAAAAAACAAAAGTTCATAGGGATTTCAGGATATATGCTTTCATTACCTAAGAAATCAAAATGTGTCCATAGCCTTAAAAAAATTGATTTCAGTCATATCAGCCAATAACCATGCATAAACAATATTCTCTCAAAAATACAAACAATTACATACATGTTGCTCACATATTATGGTTGCCCTGTTTGTGCTAAATATATAGTGCAATTTCACCTGTGCCATTAATATGTTTATAAGCAACTGAAAAAAGCACAAATGTCAGGGCATCTCAAAATATCTCAAGGACACCAAATACACCTTGGCCCCCAAAGGGTTAATGTATTCAACGTTTTCCTTATATCAACTTGAAAGAACACATTCTGAAGAAGTAAACTAAAACAAAATCTCAAAACTGATCACTGCATGAAAAATCGATGTTTTTGTCTGCCATGTCTCGCCTTAAACAAAGAGCAGTCCACTGCTGTCAACCGTTAAACTTGTTGTGGCGTGATGTGTGCTCTTGCAGATGCACTGTATTACATTGGCCTCATTAACAGCGCTAGCATATAAATTGCAATCGGTCTCAGGCTTCAGTGCTACAGCTGTACGCTCCAACAGCATTTTAAAGCAGTCAATTACCCTTGCACGGAAGCACTCAAGGACTCCGCATTATTCTGCGTAAGCACTTGGGCTTTGAACTGTTGTTTAAACTCTGCTGTTTTCACATGCATTATGCAACTTCATGACCGAATGAATGGATAGAAAAATACACTGAAACTGAATGGATGTAATTTAAAGCCGTGTATGAGAGGCAAACAAGCAGACAGGCAACAGGAAGTCCATTCAAGGATGTGATGTGTAACCTAATTCCTTACTGTGCAGATTACCACATAGCAAACAGAGAAATGACGCCAAGCATTGATCTTCTGTCGGGTGCCTATTGATTCACTGCTGGCTTAAGGAGATGAGCGCTTTCCCTGCTTTAGCTACAGTTTATTAGGCAGATCTTAAAGGGTTAGTCCACCCAAAAGTTATGTAATTAATGACTCACCCTCATGACGTTCCAACCCCGTAAATCTGTTCATCTTCGGAACACAGTTTAAGATATTTTAGATTTAGTCCGAGAGCTTTCCGTCCCTCCACTGAAAATGTATGTCAATATACTGTCCTTGTCCAGAAAGGAAATAATGACATTATCAAAGTAGTCCATGTGACATCAGTTGGTTAGTTAGAACGTTTTGAAACATCGAAAATACATTTTGGTCCAAAAATAACAAAAACTACGACTTTTACGGTTCTGTCGTCAATCAGTGTTCACGAGTTCGCATGCTGTAAACAAAACAATCTTCGCAAACATGTCTAGGTTTTCGACACAGAGGAAAACTTGCATTTCTTTGCCCAGAAATATTTATTTGAACCCGAATACACGGACGCACAAGTTACTGGTCATCAGCGTTTTACGTCATCAGCGTCACTAAACGCGGATTGACAACAGAACCGGAAGACAATACAATGCTGAATAAAGTCGTAGTTTTTGTTATTTTTGGACCAAAATGTATTTTCAGTGCTTCAAAACATTCTAACTAACCCACTGATGTCACATGGGCTACTTTGATGAGGTCTTTATTTTCTTTCTGGACAAGGACAGTATATCGTACATACATTTTCATTTTTGGGTGAACTAACCCTTTAAGTGGGATTCATTTATCAATATATTCTGTGTAGAATCTGATAGACTGGAGAATATTTCCTTGATATAAAGGTTCAATTTTCTAAAATAGAAAAATATTATATTACTGTGAGTCTAGCTTGTGAAACACTCATATGTGTACTTCGTACTTAGGCAGCAAAGCAGTCAGTGACTTTGTCGGTTTAAAGTTTGAAGTGTTTAACTTTCTAGTGCTCAAAGGCTGATCATAGTTGAAAAACAAACAATATGCTGGTATTTGCTTCTCCCTGAGAAAATATTCAATGCTCGTGAAAGAGAAACAAACGTCGAGGTATTCCTGAAACCCCAAGGCTGCACATTAGCATAGCATCTAATGAATGCTTGTGATGGTAGACATATCTGACATATAATTGGTTGAGACTTAAGTGCATACTTTGAAACATTGTCAGACAAAACCAAAAACAAAAATGATAGTTATGTATAATGATATATCTATGTAAGCATTGTTTAGGCAGCAGAAAAACCACAGTTCAATTTGCCAAGTGTGCCTTTAAAAAAAAATTGAATGTTAATTTTAAATTATAAAAAATGTTTTTAATAATTTTATGTGAATTAAAAGGAAAATTGTTTTATTTGGTTTTCATTTTAGTTTTTTGATGACAACAACACAGTTTGAACAAGTACATTAACATGTATATTTGAGTCAATGATTCCTACCAAGAAAAGGTGTGAAATTAAATCAAAGCAAAATCAGCAAAATCTCAAGGGTGTTTTATGCTCACAATTTTAAATGGCCACCATATAAAATAAGTTGTGACGGTATTGGCAATGGTCCCATCCTTCTGCAGTAAATCTTTTATTGCTGTCATCTTGTTTTATGGAAAATCTATTGATTTTCCCACATCACCAGGACATGAAGCCACAGACTCATTATAAAGCCGATTCCCTGAATTATAAATGTGTGTATATGTATGCTGGTACCATGCTTGTTTTTTTTTTTTTTTTATATATTTTTGCCAGTACTGTATGTCTGTATATGTCTTTGTTGTAGAAATAAGGAATCCACTTTCAGTAGACAAAAACAAAGCAATCAAACAGTTTATGATTTATTCAAGCTTTGTTTTTTTATTCCCTGGATTATTTCAACTCACTTACATAATTACATGG